ATTTTTTCAAGCAAACCTGCCCTATCTGGTTTTTATACTTGCGCATATAGTGCCCATAGTGTCCTTTAAACAGTTCAGTGTAAAGATGGTTTGAAAAAAGCCGTATTAAATGAGGAGCATTATAAATGGGGAAAAGTGCAATAGCATTAATAGAGTAGGATTAATCATGTTCTAGAGCAGGAAGGCATTTAGATGAATGCAACTTTAACTGATTGTCAATGATACCATTAAAGACAGGAACTTCTATAAAAAGAAGATTTTTTTTAGAAAAAAAGGATAAAACTCAAAAAACACGTTTGGGATTGGCACAGAAAATGATTTATTTCACTACTCAACTTTTTCGGAAGACATCCAAAGTTGGATTTTCTTCCATTAAATTTCAATAAAATTGTGGGATACCTCTGCTAGATAGTCATATCATTACATTTTTGAGTTATTACCCTCAAAAATGGCCTGGTCAACTGCTGTCATTCTGCTCCCTTCGCAATCAAATCAATGCGTTTACATAAGTTGGGTATAAAAAGAGAGGAGTTTCTAATGAATTATCTGTTCATCTATCTTTTCCTTGGATAAATGAAATATTCCTAAAATTATCAAATTTATGAGATTGTTCGAGTTATTCCTATATCTTCCTCTATCATGATTGAAATACTGCAACATCAATTCCTGCTCACTGCTGCACTCACACCTATTCACGCCAACAGCTGCTTTGAGATCAACGAAGGAAGATGATCGCATCAAAACATCCCGAGACGACGCTTTCAAGATTCTGAAATTCATTCTAGTCTAAAGGAGAGAAAAAACGGTCTTGTTGTGGTTAAGTAAATAAAACGAAATTTGTTTGAAAACACCTGTATTTCTGTTTTTCCTCTGCAGCACATCTACCTAGATTTTCTGCTCTGCCCAAACACGAGAATAATTCAGAACGCTTGCCAAGAAATTCTGCATCTTGATATATTATTTATTTTTCTCACTGAACGCTGTTTTTCTGGCAAACAGGTGCACACTGCATCCAGGGTTGCCAAGTTTTCGGTTATAAGTCCCCAGTTTTGCTCTAGGTTTTTCATGTCAGCATTTTCTGGGGCATCTAGCGTCCCTGGTTGCAGTCTGCTTATTAAGAGTTTAAATCTATGTCTAATTCATTATCACTGAAATTACGTGTCCCTTTAGGGTTTCTTTATAATTTTCAACACTTTTCAGTAAGAATGTTAAATACGTAGTTTCAGTTATCCATGTATGTATGTCTTGCAAAAATCAATAATTGACTATTGTCATCGCTGTTGGAAACTTTTCAAAAATTCTCTTAATTCAAAGAAGTCACAAAATTCAAAAGGTAATTTCCACTGCAATGATTACTAGGTGAAAAATCAGGAGTCTGAAAAGTGTCTCCTATAATTAACTTTCAGTATAATCAATTTTTTTGCAGATCTTCTTTTGCTCTATTTCTTTTTCTCCTATTTTCACCTGCAATCTGTAATAGGACTTGAAATCTAAGTACAAGGAACAAACTAAACCGTAAATGTTAGAAAACTTAAGAAATTATTTTTGACATTTTGTTTTTGGAATTATTTCCACCGGACATATCCCATTATCGTGATCAGCACTGGAGTTCAAAATTGAGAATGTTGAATTTTAATCAAAGTCTCAACTGGCAATGAGAAATCTTGACCCAACTTTAATCTGTCAGTTTTAGTAAGTGATTTTACTTGAAGCTTAATTGAGAATACAGTGTGCACTCGACCAATATTGCCAAACGGCAAGGTCATGCTAATTGCTTAGAGAGGGAAGTGGGTCATATTAATGAGAGCCCGAATGAGAAACACGCAGTTGCTGATGAAATGTTGAATGATTTTTGTTGAATTGTCCCTTTTTTGTTGCTTGAGCCAAGAAGTTTAGGTAGATTTTCACCAGCAGAGATATTTATGTTACTTTTAATTGCAATGGGAGCAAGGAGTGTTTATTTTCTCAAATAGCTCAATCTCATAGCTGAATTCTAGTCGCAGTAATGTAGGAAATTGAAATCCTTTAAAATTAAAAATATTGGCTACGGGTCAATGAGGAAAGACTGCATTACTATGATCAAGTCTCAAGCATGTAATTTTAAAAAAAACGATCAAATACCCTCTTGTACAACAATAGAAGTCCGTAGTTTTAATTTAATTTCTCTACCAAATCGGAAGCTCAGAAGAATAATCTTAGAGTAGTTAAAATAATTTTCCAATCAATTTGGTAATATGTCATCATTCATGCTGTGTTGTCAAACCTCATCGAGAACCTTTTCAATGTTATGCCATGACTATTAAAGCTCAAGACATTCCAATTTTGTACTCCAGAGACAAAAATGATGGCTGATATTTTGAACCCCTCATCCTCCTCATAACTTACCCAGTATGTCGTACATTCTTTTTTCTTTCTTTTTTTCAATTTATTCATGATGTGTCTCATAAATAAGTTTGTTCTCTAAAAAACTTTAGTAAAGTTTCAGGTCTCATTCATAGGTAGTTTTTGTTCATGGAAAATTCTTTTTCCATGATAAATTGAATAATATTTCCTTTAATTAGTAGACAAAATTGTAGGTACTTACCTTCTGAAAATTTTCTTTTTGAATTATTTTAGTGATGTACAATCACCAACACTGATTGTGTTTTTTTGTCATATAAGAGTACTCTCAGTCCACTAGTATTTCAAATCATCAAGAGAATAGGGGCACAAGATGAAATCCTTAATTTTGTTTTGTTGAGTTGTATAAATGAAGGTTCTTCAATTTGTCAAGATATTTAAAATATTTACCTTTCCTTATTACAAGCTACCTCTTTAAAATCATATTTTTTTCTCCTGGAAAGATTACGGTTCCTTTTATTTATGTATCTGAAAAAAATGAGTGTTCCTCCATCCAAGTTAGGAAAAGTGAGGGTCTTCTCTCTTTCCCCTGTAAAAGTAGTTTTCTTTTTTCATGAAATCTTCCATGAAAACATCTCATAAATAAGTCACACAAAGGGTTTTCTTAAATTTTTCATAATGTTTTCTCCTGTTCTGAAGAATTTATCATTTACAGTATAGCTATTCCATAATGCGTCTATTCTTTCACGAGCAATTCTGCTTTTTGGCAGCATAATTTTAGATCTTTGAATTCTTTCAATGAAGCAAACAAAATACCTCCAAAAATGCTAAGTTGCAATTATGTAGTTTTTTTCACCATTCAACCAGATTTTAATGCTGACAGCTGAGAAAATTCGCAGATTAAGTTAAAAAATTAATGTTTGCTAATCTAATTTGCCAGTTTTATTTTTTACCCCTTTACAAAATGCAAACATTAAGCGTATTTTTCATAAAATAAAATACTATCATTTTGAGATTTTGAGTGGTCAAATGTTGCCCCACTCAAGTTTTTTCGAAGTAAAGAAACGTAACTTACATGAAATCACCCATCTCAATTAAAAAAATTGAAGAAGAAACTTCTCACAACTTCTTTAGAATTGAAGCAAGAAATGTTTTTCCCTCAGTTCCATTTAATTCTTTTATATCCTTTGAATAAGGCCAAACCTCATGCCAGCCCAATTAAATCGGCATAATTGAGATCAAAATCTGTTTCCCAAAGGCAACTGTTCCCACTATAAGGCAACAGACAGGTTGCAAACCTAACTTTGCTCCTTGTGAAGGATAATGGGAAGGATTCATATCAGTTTGTAGCTTTTAATGTCCCTTTTACTTGCTTTGTCAAGTTAGCAGGGCCTTAAAAATAATTGACAGGCAACTACGCACAGCTGTGCCAATTTTTGACTGCTGCAACTGCGCTCTCTTGTCGATGAATGATCTAGATTTTAAGTCATTAGTCATGAAAGATTTAGACCGCATGCAGGTGCTGTCAAGAATACATTGACCTGAGATAACATGTGCAAGCAGTCTTCTGCCAACTATATTTAAAAGGAAGTGTCTTCAAGAACTTAATTTTAGCAGTCTGTGAAAAAAACTCAAACAATCAAGAAGAATTTTCTATGACTTTAATGCCTCAAAAGAGCTGCTCTCAGGAAAACCAAAGAAAATATTTACCAATTCTACGAATACTGCATTAACTTTCAAAATAAAGTTCAATTAATGTAGGAAATATATGAAAGGAATTGAGAGGGAGAATATTTTTATAAATCCACTGATAAATGCTCCAGTATAAATCTGCATTTCTAAGGTTTAGTGATAAGTAAATACACTGAGCACTGTTTCATTTACTTCTACATTGACGAAATAATTTGTTTTTTTTTTGCATTTTAAAAGTGGAAAACTTAAAACCAAAAGTTTGATCCCATCTGACAATTTATTTTGAAGTGCTCAACCCTCTTTTAGGAGACTCTATCAAGTTGTAACAAAAATGTCAAAGTTATGAGTGAATTGTGTAGGTAGAAGGTGCTTTCGCCTTTAATGATAATGAACTTGGCCATGGGAATGTCTAGTCTGAGCCATCAAATATTTTTTGCGTGGAATTATTTATAGTACTTTGTTGTTATTATTGTTGGGTGATTCACTCACTATTTCAAGTTCTTGACATCATCCTTTAAAAATATTCTCCCTCTCTGATTCGTAAGTTCTTAAGAATCAAGTGCTGTTTCAATAATAAAATTGACGCACTCTTCAAACCTACTGGTATGAAACGATTATTGAAGAAAGATAGCTCTTCTTGTTCAACTGAAAGGATATCGAAACCATAGACTACTGCAGTTAATAGCAAGTTATGTATCTGAAATGATAGAAATAGTAAATGTTATATTTTCGCATTAATCATTATAACTAAGCAGTTTTTGTATATGAAATATTTGATAATGTTTCTCCAATTATTTGATATCTACTTAACAATATTTTTATTTCATCAGATGGTCATCAGCTTTCTGTGGTTTCCATACCCTTTCATACTACTGGTAGTCCATGCAAGTTTTATATTTAGGAAAACCAACTTTAAATAATGAGGATAAGTAAGGATAATTTTCTAATGACATTTCTAAAACAGTGAGTTCTGTATCGTGATTCCATTTATTGGTTTTTTTCCTTTTAAAAACAAAATTTTAGTCTTTAGTGATGGAATTAAAACTAAACTTAAATTTCTAAAGGAAATATGAACGAGCTAGGTATCCCCAGAATTGTAATCCATGTTTGCTGCAAATTCCTCACTGAAGGTGCTGTAGAAGATTCACACTTACACTAATCTTGTAGCACTCCTTTCACACGAACCTTCACTTCTCTTCTTTCAAAACTGGAAACTTTGAACTTTTTAAGGATCAAAGCAGATAATTTTAATCGTTTTTTCGAATTTTCATCTAATTAGTATTTGTAAAAAAAGGAGGAGGAAAAATCCTTTTAACTAAAACCCTCTTAATTTTAAAAACAATTATAATGAATTCATTTTTACGAAAAAAAATGCTACTTTTTTTGTAGCTGAACAAAAAAACTACTGATCCTTTGATATAGTTGTTGAATTTGTATCGGTAGTTCTTTTCCTGCAATCACACTTGGGGTACCTGGATTTTTTCAAGCAATTTTCCTTATTTTGTTTTTACTGTTTAGCTTTTTCTCTTTTCAAAGTAGAGCAAATTTTAAGTTCTGTTCAGCTCTTCAGAATAACAAATTTGAATTAAATGTTTTATCTTATGTGAGCTTCACCAGCACTTCACTTCTTATTTATACTTTTAAGTTTTTTTAATTTTAAAATTTTCCTTTAAATATGTTGTGACATAGTCTTTATCATCCTTTTTTAACTAATTATTTTAAGTCATGTATTTTTCTGATGTTAAAGTCTTTCAACTATCTTTAGAATAGTAACAAAAGTTAAGAATTTAATTTTAGACTTAAGTTTCAAGCACTTCACCTCCTATTAATATTCTCTAGCTCTTTCGTAGTTTAAGCTCTTAGTTATTTAGAGAGTCAAATCTCGTTTGCCTCTCTCTATAAATTCGCATATTGCTATTTTGTTTGATTGAGAGACAGTAATTTATATAATTTTTTTCGTGGGAAGGTATCGCACCAAAATGTTGACTCTCTCTCGACTATCATACAATTCATACTGAACCTTTCAATAGTTTAACAGATTCAGCTGTGGAACAACTCTCTGCAACAGGATTTTCCCTTTGATTTTTTCCTCTTCTTAAATACAACTAGTTCTCGTGGTCCAACGAATTTTGTGCCCGACGAACTCTCAAATTGAACATTGGAACCTTAACCTGATTTTAATGTTTTTCGTCCTCCTTTTTGAATGAATTTGTGAACACTGGGACAAACGGTATTTTGATTTCTACGTAAGTAATATGATGCACTTAGTCCACGCGATAACCAAAATAATTTTTAAATTTTTATCGTCGTTAGGAAACATTTAAAGTCATCTTGTTCTCACCGAGTAATTCTCGCACACCATGTTTCCGGCACTTTATTCAATACGATTTTTATCAACGACATCCATAAAATAATTTCGGATAACTTATCGCACGAATCCCGGTTAACAGTAAAACCGGCTCAACTTAGAAACCTTTCATTTTTCCAGCACTAAATTGTAACATTTTCAACGAGCTCCGTTTTTAACTCAGGTGTTTCAATCACTCTCGGAAATTTTCCCGCGCGAACGATGAACTTTCGCACTGTCTCCCCGCGCTCAAAGCGTTACCACTACACATGGGTTTTTTTTTTTTTTTTTTTTTTTTTTTTTTTTGCAATCCGCGTATCATGATTTCAATAAGCGAACAATTCCCAAATACTTCCGATTGAATCTAGCCGTACGTTACACATCCTAGCGGTGAGGCGACAGGGACACGCGCGAACTGACCTATCACTTTCGAAGCACTTGTCGATGCGTCGCGATTTCGATTGGCGGGCGAACTTGACCCGCGCGCGGCGACCACTTCGGTTTCAGGCGTGGCGCTTTGAAAAACTGGCGCCTTCTCCGCGACCCGATTCGACTCGAGCTGCGGAGTCGCGGTTCCCGGCAGCCGCGTTGCCCCCCCCCCCCCCCCCCNCGGCTGCCTCACCGTCCCTCTTCGCCGAGGTCTATCCCCTCCTCGTGCGTGCGGGAGGTGATTCGTTCAGGCGATGTCGGATCTGTACGTAAAGCTGAAATCTACCGGGTGTCTTGCAATTGAATTTATTCACGTAAACATCACTGGAAAAAAAAAAAAAAAAAAAAAAAAAACATTGGATCCAGAGTCCAGACTCTTGAATAATTGACAAGAAAAAGGATTCTTCATTCAAGCAGATTTAAGCTTAAATCAAAAGGAAATCCGCTCAAATTAAGAGGCTTGGTTCTTGATTTAAGCGTAAATCTGATTGAATCAAGAGTATTTTTTCTTGTCGATATTTTTAAGAGTCTGGACTCTAGATCCAATGTGTTTTTTTTTCCAGTGTTTCAAGGAATTTCAGGTAATTTTTGAAACTCGTGGAATGGGGGTGCATTCGGAAGGAGCCAATGTCGGCAGTAGAAACCGGGAAGTATTTGGAAATTCGATGTCATGAGGAAACAGGATAAAGTCAGAGTGAATTACAGACAATTTGAGATAAAAAATTAAATTTCAAGAAATTACATGAAATTTGTTGAAACTTATGGATCAAAGATGCATTCGGAGAGTGTCTACACAGACCTAACGTCAATCAAAACCGGAAAATATTAGGAAATTCGATGTTTTTAGGAAAAGCAGGAAGAAATCAGGATGTCTTACAGAGATGGAAAGTTTAATTTATTCTTGTAAAATTTCATGAAATGTTTTGAAACTTATGGATTGAGGATGCATTTGGAGGGTGTCTATGACGTCAGTAAAAACCAGAAAATAATAGGACATTCGGTTCTTTGAAAGAAATTAGGGAAGACATCTGTGTAGCGGGAAACTAATGGTAAACACGTTGTTTCTAAACTGAGCCAGAAATTGTAGTTCCTAATTGCAAAATGTGGTGCAAATAGAAAAACACAATTAAACAATAAATAAAAATAAAAATTAAAGAAATTAATTGAATTCAAGAATTTTTTAATTTTGATTATTTTCTCAAAACGTGTCCCTTTGAGAAAAGACACGCAGAATATGTTGAACTGATCTAAAAGTTCAAAAGTTCGCTCATACATAATATATGAAATATTCGCGTTTAGCGTTAACGTGAAAATCAGTGAATTCATACATTTCGCTCGCGGGAAAGCCAAAATCAACGCAAGTCAAATCGTAAGAAACATGCAGACTTGAAAAAACCCGCTTATATTCTTTATCCAGCGTTCGAGTCTCCCATCACGTCGACGTAAAAATCCAGTGAGATGTTATATTCTTCGTGAAGGGAAATCCATAAGCATTGTTGATTTTTCCTAAACTTTTGTTCCGGCGCAGAGGAAAATTGCCATGCCGTATACCACCACCGCATGAACTTCGGGACGTTGCCAAACTTTCCTCAATAAAATACGAATTTTCCAGGAAGGCTCTGATTCATTTTCTTCGAATCATCGAGAAAAGTTTACTCGCAATTCATTCTGAACCATCTGAAAATTCCAAGCCAATGTACAAAACTTTTGTGTTTACGTCAAGAATGAATATCTTACACTAGGAAAAAAAAGAACACATTGCATCTAGAGTCTAGACTCTTAAAAACATCGACAAGAAAAAATACCTACTCTTGATTCAATCGGATTTAAGCTTAAATCAAGAACTCAGCCCCTTAATTTGAGCGGATTGCCTTTTGATTTAAGCTTAACTCTGAGTGAATCAAGAGTATTTTTTCTTGTCAATGTTTTCAAGAGAGGGCCAATGTGTCTTTTTTTTCAGTGTATCAGGGCGACATCGGAATGTTCAAACGACTAAATCCTCAGAAAAAAATCACGGCAATCTTGTCCTCCAGACGAACAAGCAATTTCAATAACCGGGAATACGTCACAACGCCCCTCAAAGAAAATACAGTCATATTCGTTTAAATTTAGCTACATCGGTGGTTTCAGCGCTTTCAGCGGCCGCCCCGCGGGAGACGGGGCTATTTCGGTGCCGTTACTCATCGGCATGGCGCACTGCCGCGCGCGCCACGCCACCGAGTGACTTATTCCTTGCCGTGACAACCCCCCTCGCCCCCACCCCCGCAGGCCCCCCTCGGATTATCATGCTCATAAAGCATTCCTGCTCCCTGTTCATGCTTTTTTACTGTTTTTCCCGCCTTCTTGACGATCGCCGGCGCGTGGCCTCGCTTCGGATTGTTGTCGACTCGTGGCGCTTGTCTACTCTGCCGTCCTAAGGAACAACGCCGTATGAGCCTTCGGTCGTTGCCAAGTTTCCTCCGATAAAAACCGAATTTATTGGGAAAATGGAGATGTTGCATGTGTGTGGAATTTGCGATTTGACTGTTGATTTTTATGTAAAACTTCGCGAGAAACACGATGGTGCGACTGGTTTTTTCTGAATTCAACTCCCAAGCTCAAAAAAAGCTCTCAAGTTGAGGCCAAAATGGAGGGGATATCCCACGCTATCCTGAGAGTCCACCTCTACATCAAAACAAACTCTCCATGCAAAGATAGGGAGCAAATACATTGACAGGGCTGCCACTTTATTTGGGGATTCCAAAACTGAAATCACGGCATCACTGCTAATGCATTTGCTCCCTATCTTTGCATGGATAGTTTGTCTTGATGTAGACGTGGACTCTCAGGGTAGGGTGGGATATCCCCTCCATTTTGGCCTCAACTTGAGAGCTTTTTTTGAGCTTAAGAGTTGATTTCAGAGAAAATCAGTGGCACCATCGTGTTTCTCACGAACATTTACATAAGAATCAACAGTCAAATCGCAAATTCCTCACACATGCAACATCTCCATCGTGAATATTATTTTCTAACATTTTCAGACAATTTTGTAGATACGCAATTTAATCTAAAATTTTTGAAGTTTTCAAGGAAAAATATGCATGAATGTTGTTAAAAATAAACGTTTTATCAATGGAGATTCGGCAACTCTCGAATGTTCATACGGCGTTTTTCCTTAGCACGGCAGCACTGAAGGCAGTTGTTGGGTTTCTCAGTTGCTCAAGTAGCTCGAATTCAGCAGGGTTGCCACAGTCAAGGAATACGAAGGAAACCGGGAAATGTCAAGGAATTCTAAAGAATTAGGGAAATACTGGAAATGTCAGGGAAAATGACGGAAAAAGTCAGGGAAAAAGTGGTAAGTCACCTTTATTTACTTTCTAGGATGGGTTTGACGTTTCGAACGAAGAATTTTGCGTGAAAACTTTTTCAAATCATGTCTTTTTGATTATCTGGCATGTCCTCAATTGTCAGGGATTTTAACCAAAATGTGACAGAGAAATCAGAGAAATGTCAGGGAATTTCATTCTTTAAATTCTGCGGCAACCCTGGCTCAGACACTTACTGTCCTGTACGAAGAACGAATTGTGACAATTAATGAACATTGTCAGTGTTCAAATGAGAAAATACGTATGTAATTTCATCTTTTTATGTACAAAAATCCTTTCAAACATTCCACCACACCTTTCTAAGTCTTAGGAAGTTTCCTCCGCTCTAAGACACTTCTGGGAATAGACATGAGCTGAAAAATCTCTTCAAATTTTGAACTTGCTCTTTTTATCACCGAAGTTTAGGACTCCCGAATCAGGCCCTTCTACTGCCCCGACACGGAGAACGTGAAAAAGAACAAAGCCCTCATTAATACGGACGCAGACGAATGCATAACACGCGGAAGTGTACAGGGAAAAAAGAAAGAAAATCAAGGGGTATACGAATTCCTAGGCTCGCGCCGGGCCCCATTACTTACCTCAGTCTTCTTGGAACGAATCCACTATTTCTGCATTATTCACCGAGCGTAAATTGTACTCTCTTCGTTGATTTGTCGGGAAACTTAGGTGTTACGGGTCGTTAATAAGTCACTTACCGAAGACGGTTCAACTCCCTTCACCTGGGCCCGCTTAACTGCCGGCTTAACCTAGTTCCCGCTTTTACGTTTTCGGATCTCAGCACGAACCTCCTATACCCCAGAGAGCGAGACGAAAGGGTGTCAATGCTCGATTTGAACACTCTTCAGCATTTCGGCATTATGTACTTTATTTCCATGCACTGGAAAAAAACACATTGGATCTAGAGTCCAGACTCTTGAAAACATTGACAAGAAAAAGAACTTTTGATTCGATCAGATTTAAGCTCAAATCAAAAGGACATCCGCTCAAATTAAGAGGCTTGGTTCTTGATTTAAGCTTAAATCTGATTGAATCAAGAGTATTTTTTCTTGTCGATGTTTTTAAGGGTCTGGACTCTAGATCCAATGTGTTTTTTTTTCCAGTGTTCGGCAGGAGTCTATGTCGTCAGTAAAAACCGGGAAGTATTAGGAAATCCGATGTCATTAGGAAACCAGGAAAAAATCAGAGTGAATTACAAACAATTTGAGATGGAAAATGAAATTTCAAGTAATTACATGAAATTTGTTTAAACTTATGGATCAAGGATGCATTCGGAGAGTGTCTACACAGACCTAACGTCAATCAAAACCGGAAAATATCAGGAAATTCGATGTTCGGTTTCAACTTTAAGAGCTTTTTTTGAACTTTTGAGTGATTTCAGAGAAAAATTAGTGGCATCGTCGTGTTTTTCGCGAAATTTCACATAGGTACCTATGTTTACATTACAAATTCCTGACACATGCAAGAGCTCCATTTTAGTGCGAGTGCGACTTTAGCTTTTGAAAGTATACGCAGTCGACCGAATCTCTTGTGCGCAACAGACCGATTTCTGCGGCTTCCCCTAACTTTCACCGCGGGAGCCTCCATGCTCGACGTTTCTGGTTTCCCACCACCGAGGAAGTGTCAACCACACGCATTGTTCTAGACGGTAGTCAGCTCTTCACGTCCAAGTGTGCCGTGTTACAGAACTCTCAGACAGCGCACCGTGAAGCGTGGAGCACGGAGCCCTCCCCTAGACGCCCACTCGGGGGGCCCAACATCACGGGCGCTAATTTTAGCCCCTGCTGTCAT